GAGCAGCAGCCTTACCGGCACCTGGTGCAGGAGACGCTCTAGAGTTGCAGAGTGGATACCGGGGTCAGGCGGCACACACAGGTGACAGGCACCCTCACCACTAGTAGACAATGCATACATGACAGTGAGGATAGCATCATAGTCAAGAGCAAAGATATCTACCCTCTGCCTAAGCAGCTCCAGCCAGGAGGGGAGCTCAGCGTCGTCGCCAAACTCTGTACGCCAAGCGTAGCTCAGACGGGCGAAGCAGCGGGACTCTGTGTGACTAGGTGTCCCGCAAGGCTGACCAGTCCGGACACCCGTACGAATTACGTACGGGCAGCGAGCAGTACTCAGTGACCCTCTACTCTGAGCGTACCACTCACGAAGCTGCTGGGGCGAAAGAGCCTCGCGGGGACGACGCTGCAGCTGCACCTGGCCACTACCAAAAGCTCCCGAACTACCCACTCCAGGGCGACTCCCACTACGGCCACCCCGACAACCCCAACTAGCGTACCACTCACGAAGCTGTTGGGGCGGGAGGGACTCGTGCGGACGACGCTGCAGCTGCACCAGGCCACTACAAGAAGCTCCCGAACTACCCACTCCAGGACGACTCCCACTACGGCCACCCCGACAACCCCAACTAGCGTACCACGCACGAAGCTGCTGGGGCGTGAGGGACTCACGCGGACGGCCCTGGAGCTGCATCTGGCCACGCCAGGAGCAGAAGTAGCAGTAGTAGCAGCAGTAACAGCAGTAGCAGCAGTGGTAGTAGCAGTAGGAGCAGTAAAAGCAGTAGCAGCGGTAGCAGCGCGGGCAGGGCAGTGCTCACCAGTGGTGGGAAGGGCAGGCGCAAGACGGCGGCGACGGCGGGGCCGCTACAGCTGCAGGGCGGGGCTGCGACCGCGGCAGGGAGCTCCGCGGCAGTTGCTGCAGGGCAGGGCCGGGCCGCAACGGCAGCTGCTGCAGGGCGGGGACATGGCCGCGACGGTCGCTGCTGCAGGGCGGGAGAGGGCCGCGACGGCAGTTGCTGCAGGGTGGGGCAGGCCGGGACGGCAGCTGCTGCAGGGCGGGGCAGGGCCGCAACGGCAGCTGCTGCAGGGCGGGGCAGGGTCGCGACGGCAGCTGCTGCAGGGCTGGGCAGTCTGCAACGGCCGCTGCTGTAGGGCGGGGCAGGGCCGCGACGGCAGGATGCTGCAGGGCAGGGCACGGGCGGACGTCCCAAGGGCGGACGCGGGGTAGGGCAGGGCGCCGCGGCGGGCAGGGGCGACGCCGCGCGGGTCCTACAGGGTCGTCGCGACGAGGGGGGGGGGGGGGGGGCGACCGGGTCCCGTTGGGGCGTCGCGACGAGGCAGGGGCGACGCGCGGGTAGGCAGGCGCTCGAGGGCGCGGGTAGGCAGGCGCAAGGCACGACAGTGCGATTCGGGCAGGGCAGAAAAAAGTTCGTGGTGGGCCCTAAAAAAACTGGTCCCACTAGGGAACCTGCTCTGAAACCATGTGAAAAGGATAGAACAAGGAATGGCTGAACTAGCAAGGAGATGGGTACAAGTGAGAAAACCTAGCAGTGTTGTACCCCATATAGTCTACCCCACTACAGCCTACACAGACTATGTCATATATGTTTGACACATGTTCATCCTACGAAAAGGCGGCTCGCGCAATAACGAGCTCACGCTCACTTGCAAAGAGATCATCACTCTATGCACGGACAACGAGGTGCGACTAGCCATCGAATGGATTCCCAGAGATCAAAACAGTTGCGCGGACGATTTCTCAAAGCTGCAAGACCACGACGACTACACGTTGAAACAACCTTGGTTCCGTCTCTTGGACCGTCGGTGGGCCTCACTCTTTCGACTTGTTCGCAAATGCACAGAACGCATTGCTGCCTCGTTTCTTCTCTAAAGTCCCTCACCCGCGAGCCGAGGCCATCAACGCATTCTCCCATGATTGGCACGGGGATTGGGGCTTCGTATTTCCGCCCCCTCACCTCGTCCCTGCAACGCTCCATCACGCGCGTCGCACACGGGCAAAGCTAACCCTGGTGATCCCTGAGTGGTCAGGGGCAGCCTGGTGGCCCCTAGTGCAACCGGCTCCTCAAACATGGGCCATAGGAATTACTAGCCACCTTCGCCTCGCAAGCGGGAGTCAGTGCCTCCAACCGGGCACACACACTGCCGCATTCTCAGGGACTGGATTTCCCAATAGTCCGATTATTGCATTGTCCATTGACTTTACAATGTAACTCATATATATTTCATGAATGGCAGAGATATCATCCAACCTTCAAAGCCAACTCCTCTCGGTAATCAGCCAAGTACGAGCGCCTTCAACAATCCGCACCTACGACCCCTACTGGAGAAAATTCCGATCATTCTGTAACAACCTATCACTGAGCTACCTACCCGCCACAGACTTGACACTCACGCTGTACCTGGTATACGCCCTCAACAAGCACGCCACCTTGTCCGCCATCACGCTGACCTGTTCAGCAGTTGCATTTGCAGACAAGATGACTGGCCTTACTTATCCCACGAACGGCCCCTTCACTTCCCAAGTCCGAGAATTCGCCAAGCGCCACTCCCCGCGCCCAAACAGGACTAAAGAACCCGTGTCTCTTCACCAGGTTCACCAGATGACACACGAGTTCATCGCATCCGACACTCCCTCCGTATTCCAGAAAGGCCTCATCCCACTGCTCATGTATACGGGCTTTCTCCGCTTCTCGGACCTCGTCGCAATTCAGTGGCAAGACATCCAGTTTGAGGAGGCGGCGATGTGGCTATTGATTCCCCACTCCAAAACGGACCAAGAAGGCAAGGGAATATGGGTCCCAATCGCGACTACACCCGGACCATACTGCCCAGTAAAGATCACCAGACAGTTCATCTCGCTTGCCGGCTATGACGCCCCGACGAAAGAACCACTGATACGGGTGTTCACACGTGACTCCAAAGCAACTCCGCACGACCACGCGCATTCCTACCCAACTGTCCGCAATTGGTGCTTGGAAGCATTTAAAAAAGTTGGCCTCGACGCCAACCACCTTGGCACGCACTCCTTCCGCAAAGGAGCAGCAACGACGGCGGCAGGCATCGGAGTCTCAGACAGGATGTTCAAGCGGTTGGGCCATTGGCGCAGCGACAACGCAAAAGACCTCTACGTCACCATCACCCACGACCAGCTGGTGGCTACCTCCCAGCTGATTCAGGATCCTACACGGGCTCCCTCCCCGAACCAGCACCAATTGTCTATCCAGCGGCATCGCCGACCGACCACTCGCATGTCTCAGAAGGCCCATATGAAATGAAGCACGATGCCTTTACAAGTTGCAGAAATTTATAATTTTTAAACACACATTACGTTTTTTAAAATTGTGTATTGTGAAAGCGAAGCTGCTTGTACTGCACAATTGGCATCGTCGAAGCGCGCTAAACGCCCTTCTCCAACTACAAAAACCGTGGGTTGGAGCTCATTTCCCTCCACCTACGTTTCTCTATTTCAAACGGCTCACTCAATATTCCCACCACCCACCCCAGCGTAGAACGCCTTGCTAATGCCACTTGGATAGGGTACATCTTAGCTAGTGATATTAGCATGCACTAGCTTGTGTTTAATCTCGATGCAAATGTTGCAAATATGTAAATTTTAAAAGTGTGTAACACTTTTCAAAAATTGTGTATTGTGAAAGTGTAGCGATTGCCAACGCAGCAAAGGCAGCATCGCATCGCTACTCGCCCTCTTTTGGCTACAAAAGAGGGGGTTGAGGCCATTCGGCCTCACCCACGTTCTTCTTTTCAATTTCGAAGTTTGAGTTTCCCACCCATCCACCCATGTAGTAATTGTCTCCAAGTTTCTTGCTGTAATCGTAGTTATCATTGGACGAGATTGATGTACTCACACCCATATGAAATGAAGCACGATGCCTTTACAAGTTGCAGATGTGAAGAAACAGGAATGAAGGCATGGCCGTAGTTATGGCACTACGGGCTCCAATCGCAACCATCGCCGAACCATCTTCGCCCTACCTCTTCGCCTAGCCAGCTTTTACCCTATTTAGGCGTGCCTTCTCATTGTATCGTCATTCTGTAGTTCAAGTATTCTCGTTATTCGTTTTACTGCACACTCTGCAAGTTCATTCATAACATGATAAGCTGCACTTGAAAAAGGTGTATGCCTTGTTTTGCGCCATATCTCGCCAACAGCCCGTGTAGCTGGCGTATGGCGGCCACAGGGCTCTCTCCTTTTCCCTGGCACCGCGTCCATCATCTGCTTATTGGCCTCGCCACCTTTGAAGCTGCACGTTGCTACTACCTTCCTACTCGCTCGCTACCCTATCCCCACAACTCCGAATGATGCGGCATCAACTATCGCCTCCGTATCACCTGTCCACCCACATTACCGCCACCTGCTCGTAGCGCCCCACACGTTGCTCGCTGTCGTCGTCGTCGTGTGCGCAGCACCGCGCGGGACGACCATCGCTAGCGGAGCACGCGGGTGCGGCCAGCCCGCTCTGTGCAGCGACGCCCGTCCGCCGCGCATCAACGGCGCGCGCCATGCTCGCGCCTGTGGCCATCACCAGTGCAGTGACGATCAAGCCCGTGGCCTCTCATTCATCCCCATGCCTCCCCGCAATCCCAATCGCGCACACCGCCGACGGGCCCCGTTGGGCCGCTGAGCCTCCTCTTCGCCGCGCCCTCCTCACGTTTTGCCTGAGCTGCCAGCGGACCGGCTGCTAAGCCGTTAGTGTGACGGCCTGCCGCAAAGATGGCGACGGCTGGCAGGCAGACGCTGACGTCATCGGGGTCGGGCAAGATTGAGCAGGCGAATCTGGTGGCCGTTCGATTCGAATTCGAAATTCACCTCGTCGAGGTCAGCTCCGCCCCCCGTCTGCCTCCGCTGGTCCCACTTCCCCGCCCGCCCCACGTCCCCCTTCCCCCTTCCCGCTTCCCCTTCCTCACTTCCCACGTCCCGCTTCCCCCATCCGGAGCCCCCCGTTCCGCTTCCGTCGTCGTTCCATGCGTCTTCCGCTCCCCACCACATCTGCGTGTCTCCCCTCGTCCCCGCACGCCGCGCCTCTGAACGATCTCCAGCCCCTCTCTCTCCCTCTTCGCCCCCTCTCTCTCCCTCTTCGCCCCCTCTCTCTCCCTCTTCCCCTCATCCCCTCGTGCCCCCTACCCCGCCAACCGCCCGCCATGGCGGCAGCTGCGCGGGTGGCTGCGCGCCTCCCCGCCGCTCATCATCCGCTGGCAGCGCGGGGACAGCCGCGCGGGCCTCTCGGCGCCTGTGTGGCCCCCCGACGGCCCCCACGTGCCGCTCAGCCACACCTTCCGGGTACGCTGTGAGTGCACCCGGCCGTGGGGGGGAGGGGGGAGGGGGGGACGGAGTGGGGGTGGGGGGATCTGGGTTCCTGGGGTGGTGCTGTGGTGGGATGGCGGGGCGTGGTTGAGGCGGTGGGAGAGACAATGGGGGCCGCGGGGCGAGTGGCACCGGGCAGTCACACCTGCGTCCCCCACGCAGCAACAAACCCCTCTCCACCCCACGCCCACGCTGCATGCACCTCCCATCTCCCCCACCTCCCACCAGCTTCTCCTTGCATTCGCATCCTCTCCTTCTCCCTCCCCCACTCCCTTCCCCTTTTCCCAACGTCTTCCCCTCCTCTCTAACACCAACCTCTTCCCATCCTTCTTCTCCGCCCTCTCAACCACCCCTTACCCCCCTCATTTCCCTCCATTCTTCCCGTTCCCCACTCTTTCCCCCTTTTCGCCCCTCTTTCCCTGCTTTTCCCTCTTTCCTCCCCTTTCCCCTTTTTCCCCCACTTTCCCTCCCTTTTCCCCCTTTCCCCCTCCCGTTCCCCCTTTTTTTCCCCCTTTTCCCCCTTTGCCTCCCTTTCCCCCCCTTTCCCCCCCTTATTCCCCCCATTTCCCGCCCGCCCTGTCCCCCTCGCCTGCGGGCAGATCCCAGTGACGCTGTACAGGGAGAGGGGAGCCCCCACGGCGCCCTACCTGCGCAAGGCAGCCACCTTCACGCTCCACCACGCGCTGCCCGCCGCCGCCGCCCACCCGAGCCACCCACCCGATGCACCATCCGAGCCTGCCTTCCAGGCTCGGCCCGAGCCTCTGGGCCGGGCGCAGCTGGACCTGGCTGAGCTGGCGGACTGCGACGGGGCGGTGGAGCGCCGCCTCAAGGTGGCGCCCGGGCCCGCCATGCTGGCTGACGTGGCGGCTGCTGAGAGGCCGGCGGGGGCGGTGCTGGTGGTGAGCGTGGAGTGCGTTGGGAAGAAGCTCAGCCGCGAGGCCGCCGCTGAGGAGGCCCACATGTACGCCTGGGATGGCATGGGCAGGGGCAGGGCAGGGGCGCAGGGCAGGGGCGCAGGGCATGGGCGCAGGGCATGGGCGCAGGGCATGGGCGCAAGGCATGGGCGCATGGGCATGGGCTCATAGCAAGAGGAGGGAGTGGTTTAATTAGGGTGATGGGTGTTGAAGCGAGAGGGTGGGCGTGGGATGGGGTGTGGATGATAGCATTGGAGAAGCAGGTGGGTTGGGTGAGGGGGAGTGAATGCGATGGGGGGAGGGTTGGGATAATATAGAGTGGTGAGGTGAGGAAAGGGGAAGTGCAGGGGTGAGAGTGGGGGCGAGGCAGTGTTGGTGAGGGAGAGGGGTGAGTGCAGAGTGCGGGCAGGCAGAGTGCGGGCAGGCAGAGTGCGGGCAGGTGTGGCTCGTGTGCTGCCAGAGCTGCTGCTTGGTGCTGCATGCGTTGTGAGTCAGCGCCATGCGTGGGGTGGGAGGCATGTGTGGGTCAGCCTTGGGTGCAAAGGCTGCCAGCATGGGCAAGCCACCATGGGCAAGCCACCATGGGCAAGCCACCATGGGCAAGCCACCATGGGCAAGCCACCATGGGCAAGCCACCATGGGCAAGCCACCATGGGCAAGCCACCATGGGCAAGCCACCATGGGCAAGCCACCATGGGCAAGCCACCATGGGCAAGCCACCATGGGCAAGCCACCATGGGCAAGCCACCATGGGCAAGCCACCATGGGCAAGCCACCATGGGCAAGCCACCATGGGCAAGCCACCATGGGCAAGCCACCATGGGCAAGCCACCATGGGCAAGCCACCATCCGTGCCGCTCCACTCCATGCCCCCCCTCCATCTGCTGCTCACTCCCCTTTCGCTGCTCTTGTGCCCCCCATACGTCCATGCTGCCCCACCCCCCTCCCCCTCTTTCCCCCCCCAGCCTGGCGGCCCCCAGGGGTCATCGCCGCAACGCCTCCTCACCGCTGCTGCCCTCCACCGCACTGCACTGCCCCGCTGCCCCCTCACATCTTGCCTCCTCCCCTCCGGCATCAGGGTGCGCGTCGCCCGCCGTGGCAGCAGCAGGCAGCGCGGGGTCGTCGCTGGGCGACGGTGACTTCCCTGCCCTGCCGCTGCCCCCCGCGGCAGGGGGCGCGCATGCACAGGGCCACACGCACGAGGGGCCGCATGGGCCATGGCAGCACGAGCAGGCTGTAGCAGAGAGAGAGGCGCGTGGGGAAGATGCGGGGAGGGTGGAGGCAGTAGCAGAAGAAGGCAGAGGGGAAGGAGTGCAGAGCGGTGGTGAGGTGGGCAAGCGCAAGCAGCAGAGGAAGAGCCGCAGAGGAGGCAGGGCAGGCTCATGCGATGGGGTGGGGGGCGGGAGGGAGACGGGGGGAGACGTGAGTGAGGAGGTGCGGATAAAGGACGCTGTAGAGCGTGACGTGGCAGTGGGCGATTCTGGACCTGTCTCTGCCACGTCAGCCCCCCCTTCCACATTTGCAGTGTCTGCCAAGTCAGCATCGTCTTCATCCACCTCATCACGACCTCCCTCCCACCCTCCATCAGCCTCTGCTTCCCCTGTGCCCTCGCGCTCCTCCTCTGTCTCGTCAGCGACCTCTGCATCCACGTCAGCTTCGGCATCCACGTCAGCTTCGGCATCCACGTCAGCATCTGCTTCGTCAGCATCCACATCGGCATGCATGACGTCATCATCATCACATTCGCCGCTGGAGTCACCAGCAGCATCCGCGCCCCCCTCCGCCTCCTCCATGTCTGCCACACGCGCCTTCCGCCTCGCTGCTGCCACCCATGCCCCCTCCCCTCGGCCTCAGGTACTGCCCCTCCCCTCGGCCTCAGGTACTGCCCCTCCCCTCGGCCTCAGGTACTGCCCCTCCCCTCGGCCTCACACTCTCCCCTCGGTACATCCCCTCGCTGCTTCCCCTGCCTTCCTTCCCCCTCTACTTCCTCTCCCCTCCTCGTCATCTCTGCTGCTCTGTGTGCGTCTCCTTCCTTTGACACGTCCACACTATCCTCTCCTCTCTGGCCCCCCCCCCCTCCCCGCATTCACGCCTCTCCTCGCCTCTCGTCTCCCCCCCCCTCTCCCACCCTTCCAGCCAGCCGCGGGGGCCAAGCCACGCAGGAAGGCATCGCGCCGCGCGCAGTCGTACGGCAGCACTGAGCTTGCAGCCTTCCATGCCGCCCCCGCTGCACCACCAGCACCACCACCAGCACCAGCACCAGCACACGCTGCAGCAGCAGCAGCACAAACGTCACGAGCAGCAGCAGCACAAACGTCACCAGCAGCAGCAGCACAAACGTCACGAGCAGGTGCCCGGGAAGATCCTGCTGATGCTGCCGCTGACGCCACTAGTGCAATCACTGGTGAACCAGCCGAACCCAGCAGCAACACCCAGCGTGCCTCATCGGTGGCAGCTCTGGTCAGTGGCCATCGCACTTCCACTCTCCACTCCCTCCATCGCCCATCCCTGCTACTAACTCTCCATGCCCCCATTCCCTGCCCACCTTCCTTTGCTCCCTCCCCCCCCTTCCCATCTGATGTTTTACTATCTCTTCGCCTCTGCAATCTCTTCGCCTCTGCCATCTCTTCGCCTCTGCAATCCTGCTTGTTTTTCCGTTTGCACTCTCTTCTCCCGTTCACCCTTCTCTCTTGTACACCATCCTTTCCCATCCACCCTCCTCTCCCATCCACCCTCCTCTCCAATCCACCCTCTTCTCCTCTCCCCCAGAGGGCGCAGCGCAAGGCAGCGGGCAGGCGGCACTCGTATGGCGGCCAGGAGCTCACCGCCATGCAAGCCGCACTCACACTCCCGCCCGCCACCCCCGATGCCACTGACGCTGGCAGCACCAGTGACAGCAGCACTGCCGGCAGCGGCAGGGGCAGCAGGGCGAGCAGGCGGCGGGGGGGGACGGGCAGCAGCAGCATGGACGTGCCTGGCCGCCCCGCCACGGCGCTCACCCGCTTCAGCCGCCATGCCAAACCCCCCCTCGCCACGCCCCCCTCCTCCCTCCCCCCCACTGCCTCTGCCACCCCCCTTGCCACGACCCCCCTTGCGTCACCGTCCGCCACCAGTGCGTTCTCAGCCCCTAACCTCCCAGCTCAGGCTGACGCGCCCCCGTCCCACGCCACCCCTGCTGCTGCTGCTGCCGAGGGGGTGGCTGCTGGTGAGTCTGGGAAGACAAGGCGTGGGAGTGGGAAGGAAAGAGCGGGTGGGAGTGGGAAGGAGAGGGCGCGGGGCATGAAGCAGATCGAGGCAGAGCTGCAGCAGAGGAGAGAGGCGACCGCAGCCCAGGCAGCAGGCGGCACGGCAGCGACAGCAGAAGCAGAGAGCGGGGCTGACGGGGCTGACGGGGCGGGGGAGGATGATCCGTGGGGGCAGCAGGTGGGGCAGGTGGCGGTGGTGCGCGGGCAGGTGAGGGCCACATCGCTGGCAGAGCTGTACCGCGCGGCGGGGAGAGGCGGCGACCTGGACGGTGCAAGAAACGTGGCGCCGGCTCACGCCCTCCCCCAGGCGCTGGCACTCGCGTCCACGCCCCCCAGTGTGTGCCACCCCGTGACCACCCAGCCCCACCCGTGCTTGCAGGCGAACCCCCCCATGGCACCCCACCACGTGCAAAGCCCAGGCGCCGGCCCACCCCCAAACAACTCGCCCCCCTCAGCCGTCTCCCCCGCCACCGTCCCCCCCATCGCTTCCCTGCCTTACCACAACGCCACTGCCCCTTTACCCTCCACCTCTGCTCCTCCTCCTGCCTCCACCTGTGCTCCTCCTCCTCTGGCCTCCGCCTCCGCGGCTCCCCCTTCCCACCACCCCCCGCCTTCTGCCTCCTCCCCCCCCGCCTCGCACCCACCCTCCCACCGCGACCTGCTGGTGAGTGGCAGAGGGAGGGGGGACGGCAGAGGAGAAGGTCATCGTGACATTAGGGGGTCGGGTTGAGGGAGAGGAAGGGAGAGACGGGCGTTGGCACAAGGAGTGAGCGGTGTGATGCGGGAGTGGTTGTGAAAGTTGGAATTGGAACCAAAGTTGGAATTGGAACCAAAGTTGGAATTGGAACCAAAGTTGGAATTGGAACCAAAGTTGGAATTGGAACCAAAGTTGGAATTGGAACCAAAGTTGGAATTGGAACCAATGTCTTGATTGGAACCAATGTCTTGATTGGAACCAATGTCTTGATTGGAACCAATGTCTTGATTGGAACCAATGTCTTGATTGGAACCAATGTCTTGATTGGAACCAATGTCTTGATTGGAACCAATGTCTTGATTGGAACCAATGTCTTGATTGGAACCAATGTCTTGATTGGAACCAATGTCTTGATTGGAACCAATGTCTTGATTGGAACCAATGTCTTGATTGGAACCAATGTCTTGATTGGAACCAATGTCTTGATTGGAACCAATGTCTTGATTGGAACCAATGTCTTGATTGGAACCAATGTCTTGATTGGAACCAATGTCTTGATTGGAACCAATGTCTTGATTGGAACCAATGTCTTGATTGGAACCAATGTCTTGATTGGAACCAATGTCTTGATTGGAACCAATGTCTTGATTGGAACCAATGTCTTGATTGGAACCAATGTCTTGATTGGAACCAATGTCTTGATTGGAACCAATGTCTTGATTGGAACCAATGTCTTGATTGGAACCAATGTCTTGATTGGAACCAATGTCTTGATTGGAACCTATGTGGAGAAAGACGCGTCCAGCGTCCTGGACGCATGCGTCCAGACGCATGCGTCCAGACGCTGGACGCTAGTTTAGGGCCCCCGAGACGCAGCAAAAGACGCAGGTCCGGGCAGCCATAAAAAACCCCCCGGGCAGCCAAAAAAAAGTTATAGGGCAGAGGGAAGAGGGGGTAAGAGGGGGGGGGGGGGGGGGGGACACACTTTCATAGCAAAATTTCTCCTCAACAACAAAATTTCAGCCACAACAATAGAACATGAAGGTGAGCCCCAAATTTCCATAATCACAATTAGTCCAAGGGTTGTTTAGCATGCATGCATACTACCACTAACTAACATGCATCACTCATCCTCCTCGCTCTCCATCCCCTTCTCCTCCTCCTTCTCCAAATCCTCCTGCTCCTTGTACTCGTCGAAGGTGAGGTCATCCTCATCCACCTCCACCTCTCCATCCTCCTCAAGCTTGTACCCCTCGGGAAGGGGTCGGGGAGGAATGTTCCCCTCCACTATTCCCGCCTTCCTGACTTCCCCACTCGGCCCCGCACCCGCCGCACCCTTGTGGTGGTTGTGCACAACGTTCCAGTTGTGCGCAACGAACACAAGGTCGCGAACACAAGGAGCTAGCCATAACGGTGGTGCGCGGAAAGGAGCTAAAACCACTAGGGTTTTTGAAAGAGAATTGGGTTGTGAGAAAAGGGAGCACAAATGAGAGGTTTCATGAACTAAATGGGCTTTGTGGGGGTGGTGGACCACAAAGGTTGGGTTTCCTAGTTGTGGAGTGGTGGAGAGGGGTTGGATTTCCAAATCAATTTTGCAAAAAGGGGAGGGGGTTAGGGGTGAATTAGATGGCTGGTTTTGGGGGTCGAATTTGCTTGGGGGGTGTCGAATTTCGGCGAAATTGACATTCGCGACGAAATCGCGAATGTCAATTTCGCGATCGCGAAAAAAAAAAAATCTCGGTCTGCCCGAAAAAAATTCCAGGGTGCGTCCTGCGTCTTTGCGTCCGGACGCAGCGTCCGGACGCAGGATGCAGGGCTGCCCCAGCGTCTTTCTCCACATAGATTGGAACCAATGTCTTGATTGGAACCAATGTCTTGATTGGAACCAATGTCTTGATTGGAACCAATGTCTTGATTGGAACCAATGTCTTGATTGGAACCAATGTCTTGATTGGAACCAATGTCTTGATTGGAACCAATGTCTTGATTGGAACCAATGTCTTGATTGGAACCAATGTCTTGATTGGAACCAATGTCTTGATTGGAACCAATGTCTTGATTGGAACCAATGTCTTGATTGGAACCAATGTCTTGATTGGAACCAATGTCTTGATTGGAACCAATGTCTTGATTGGAACCAATGTCTTGATTGGAACCAATGTCTTGATTGGAACCAATGTCTTGATTGGAACCAATGTCTTGATTGGAACCAATGTCTTGATTGGAACCAATGTCTTGATTGGAACCAATGTCTTGATTGGAACCAATGTCTTGATTGGAACCAATGTCTTGATTGGAACCAATGTCTTGATTGGAACCAATGTCTTGATTGGAACCAATGTCTTGATTGGAACCAATGTCTTGATTGGAACCAATGTCTTGATTGGAACCAATGTCTTGATTGGAACCAATGTCTTGATTGGAACCAATGTCTTGATTGGAACCAATGTCTTGATTGGAACCAATGTCTTGATTGGAACCAATGTCTTGATTGGGACCAATGTCTTGATTGGGACCAATGTCTTGATTGGGACCAATGTCTTGATTGGGACCAATGTCTTGATTGGGACCAATGTCTTGATTGGGACCAATGTCTTGATTGGGACCAATGTCTTGATTGGGACCAATGTCTTGATTGGGACCAATGTCTTGATTGGGACCAATGTCTTGATTGGGACCAATGTCTTGATTGGGACCAATGTCTTGATTGGGACCAATGTCTTGATTGGGACCAATGTCTTGATTGGGACCAATGTCTTGATTGGGACCAATGTCTTGATTGGGACCAATGTCTTGATTGGGACCAATGTCTTGATTGGGACCAATGTCTTGATTGGGACCAATGTCTTGATTGGGACCAATGTCTTGATTGGGACCAATGTCTTGATTGGGACCAATGTCTTGATTGGGACCAATGTCTTGATTGGGACCAATGTCTTGATTGGGACCAATGTCTTGATTGGAACCAATGTCTTGATTGGAACCAATGTCTTGATTGGAACCAATGTCTTGATTGGAACCAATGTCTTGATTGGAACCAATGTCTTGATTGGAACCAATGTCTTGATTGGAACCAATGTCTTGATTGGAACCAATGTCTTGGTTGGAACCAATGTCTTGATTGGAACCAATGTCTTGATTGGAACCAATGTCTTGATTGGAACCAATGTCTTGATTGGAACCAATGTCTTGATTGGAACCAATGTCTTGATTGGAACCAATGTCTTGATTGGAACCAATGTCTTGATTGGAACCAATGTCTTGATTGGAACCAATGTCCTGATTGGAACCAATGTCTTGATTGGAACCAATGTCTTGATTGGAACCAATGTCTTGATTGGAACCAATGTCTTGATTGGAACCAATGTCTTGATTGGAACCAATGTCTTGATTGGAACCAATGTCTTGATTGGAACCAATGTCTTGATTGGAACCAATGTCTTGATTGGAACCAATGTCTTGATTGGAACCAATGTCTTGATTGGAACCAATGTCTTGATTGGAACCAGTGTCTTGATTGGAACCAATGTCTTGATTGGAACCAATGTCTTGATTGGAACCAATGTCTTGATTGGAACCAATGTCTTGATTGGAACCAATGTCTTGATTGGAACCAATGTCTTGATTTGAACCAATGTCTTGATTAGACTAGGAAGAAGCACACATCGGTGAGAAGACAAGCTTGGAAGAGAAGGTTGGGTTGACCATAGGTTGGGTTGGCCTCACTTTGGGAAGTGAGGCAACCTTAGGTCAAGTGGGTTGGGTTTGCCACACTTTGTGGAAGTGAGGCAGCCTCAGGCCCACTTGGGTTGGGTTGACCACACTTGTAGGAAGTGAGGCAACCTTAGTCCAAGGGAGTTGCAATTGGGGGCTCCACCACAATTGGGGGCTCCACCACAATTGGGGGCTCCACCACAATTGGGTGGATTGGCACCCCACAATGCAAGACTACACCCAAAGTTGGGTGTAGTCCCAACCCAACTGTACACCATGAAGTCACAAGTGTTAGCATGCTAGAACATATTTTTCTAACAGTGGTGACATCCCTCTCCACCATATCCACGTCAAGGCATGCCACGACAATGCATGCCACGTCAATGCATGCCACGTCAATGCATGCCACGTCAATGCATGCCACGTCAATGCATGCCACGTCAATGCATGCCACGTCAATGCATGCCACGTCAAGGCATGCCATGTCAAGGCATGCCATGTCAATGCATGCCATGTCAATGCCTGCATGCTGTGTCCCTGCATGCCCGTCTCTCCTCTATCATCCCGCCACATCCACGCTGCATGCACGCTGCATGCATCCCATCCCCCCTCTCTCTCATCATGTTTTCACCCCACCGCTCCCTTGTCCCTCTCCTTTCCCCCTCCCTGCCCCTCACTCCTTTCCTCCTCCCCCCTCCCTCCCTCTCCCTCTCGTCTTTCCTGTCCCCCAGAGGGCGCGCAAGGCAGCCAACAGTCGCCGCCCGCACTCGCTGGCGGGGGGGGAGTTTGCTGCACTCAGGCTAGCCCACAACCCCACAGGAGGCTCTCCAGAATCCACCACCGCTCTGCACCGCTCTCCACTCTCCTCGTCCTCCCGCCCGATAAATCCCGTTGCTGCTGTCGCCCTGGCCACTCTGCCCCGCCCCTCCACCTCCTCTCCTGCCCCTCCTGCTTCCCCTTCTGCTGGTGCAGCGGATGAGAGTGGGAGTGGGAGGAAGCGGCAGAGCAAGAAGGGCATGAGGCAGGCAGCTGGGGGAGGGCCGGCGGCAGCGGTGGTGCAGCAGTGGATGGGAGCGGTGGTGGCAGCACAGCCTGCCATGGTGGCAGCACAGCCTGCCATGGTGGATATTCCACGAGCTGCCACCACGGGCAGCATTCACACCACACCTGCCACCACCGCTGCTTCTGCTGCTCTAAGGAGGTGTGAGTCTGACGATGCGCCCTGCCTGCCCGCTCACGCAGAGCACATGGTGCAGGGAGGGCAGGGGGGCATGCAGGGGAGGGCAGAGCACGTGGCAGCAGCGCCACCATCAGCAGGCGCAGCGCCCGCTCTGGCTGCCGGCACGCACATGCCCCACCCCACGGCACTTGCCCATCACCCACCTCTCCCCTCCGCCTTCTCTCGCCCTCTGCTGCACCTTGCTCCCACTGCCCTCGCCTCCTCTTCCCCTGCCATGTCAGCTGGCTCTCCTGTGACGTCCGCAGGGTCGCCTGCCATGTCAGCAGGATCCCCAGCCTCTCTGTCCAATGAGCGCGCGCCACGTGGCGCACAGCAGGCAGCAGCGGTGGCGGAGCTGAGGAGCAAGCTGAGGGTGCTGCTGGCGCCGCCACTGCGTGCAGTGGGGCAGGAAGGCATGAGGGCGTGCGGGGTGGGGGAGTGTCACGATGTGGGCAGGCAGGGAGGAGCATGCAGTGAGGAGGCCCAACTGCCGTCAGCTGTGGCGACTGCACCGCCTGGAACCGCTGCTGACTCAGGCTCTCACTCCTCTGCCGCACAACCCACCTCTGCCCTCCCTGCCACACACGGGTACCCCCCCTCGCCTCCTCCCCTGCACCGCTCGCTCTCAGACCCACACACCCCTCGCCCCCCCACAGCGCCCTTCCCCCTCGTCTCTCCGCCCTCCCCCGGCACCCTCTCAGCGCCGCGCTCGCCAGCCCCCCCACCCTCTGCGCGCGCCCTGGGCTTTGCGTGCGCGCGCCGCCCCTTCATGCTGCCGCCCGGTGCTGCTGAGAGCGCTGGGAGGCCGCGCACTGCAGAGGGGGGGAGAGGAGGGAGGGGTGTGCGGGCGTTGACGTCAGTGGGGCACCGGGGGCTGCTGCCACGGGGCGTGCATGCAGGGGGGCCAGCAGCAGCGGCAGCAGCAGCAGCAGCCGGGGGCGCAGGCAGCCATTCTGCTCTGACGGCGCGGGAGGTGCTGGCGGCGCTGCGGCGCGTGCCGGGGCCGTACAGCTCAGGGCGGTTCGACGAGGTGGAGGGCGTCGATGACGCCCTGCTGGGCGCCGCTGCCACGCCGCGCTTAGCAGGGGGAGGCGCGGGTGGTGGCGGTGGTGGGCGGCGGAAGAGGTTCAGCGTGCTGGCTGTGGCGCGGGAGGTGGTGGAGCGGGACGGGGCAGGGGGAGGTGGGGGCAGTGGTGATTATGCGAGTGGAGGGGACGGGGAGAGAGGAAAAGGTGGTGGTGCGGAGGAGGGCGGAGGAGAAGTTGAGGAAGGCAGGGAGGACTCAGAGATCGATGGCGATGGGGAGGGCGAGGAGGCGGCACGTGTGCGTATGGAGTGGAGGCGGGTGAGGAAGGAGAGGCAGCTGGTGGAGCAGGAGAGGGGCGAGGTGCAGCGCGTGCAGGGCGAGGTGGCTCGCTTCAAGCAGTGGGCGGCGGAGGAGCAGCAGCGGCTGCAGGAGGAGAAGCAAAAGGTGAGGATGGCAGTGAGTCAGAGCTGCTTAATAAAGATGGTGAGAGCTGCGGCTGCCAGCGACTAGAAGAGTCATTGTTGTGAGAGAAAAGATCGACGAGGTTCAGAGAGCAAGCACCCAGATGTACTGCAGTTTCCCCTGGTCTGGAATTGAGTCCCAACCTTTGTTCAACTGATTGGGGGAGGCCAACAGTATGAGTGAAGCCCCCCACCTGCGCCCACCACAGGTGGAGGCGGAGAAGCAGCGCCTGGCGCCCTTTGAGGCGCGCCACCGCGCCTGCCAGCACCGCATCGCAGCGCAGGACGCCGCCACGGCCGCCCTGCGAGCGCAGGCCAGCGCGGCCGCCACGGCCACGGCGCATGTGGCGGCGCACACGCACGCCCTGCGCTGCCACCTCGCCTCCGCCGCCCACCTCCTCGCCGCCACCAAGCAGCGCCTCGCTCACGACCGCGCCTCCGTGGCTGGCGCTCTGGCTCGGGCTGCCGAGGCTGAGGAGCGGGCGCAGGCTGCGGAGAGGAGGTTCGGGAAGATGCCGTGGGAGGTGCGGAGCGCTAGTGGCGTGGCGCGGGCGGTGCATGGCGTGGCGGGCCGGCATGGGTCGTCCTTGCAGCGCCTGCACGCCCCCGCCATGCGCCTGGCTCGCGTGGTGGCCATGGCATGGCGGGGCGGCACGGGTGAGGGGGCGGGGAAGGGGGCGGGGGTGGAGGAGAAAGGGGAGTTGTGGGGCGAAGTGGGGGAAATGGCGGAGGGGCGAGAGGAGGGCGTGCACGGGGGAGGGGAGGAGGGGGAGGGGAATGCATGGCCAGGGTGGAGTGCGAGCAAGGAAGGGATGGTGGTGGGAGAGGGACAGCGAAGCGAGCAGCGATGTGTGGAGGGCAAGGCGCGTGGGTTGAAAGGGGAGCAGGTGGCAGGCGTGGCGCGCGAGGTGATGCGCGCGCTGCTGCTGGCAGCCCGGGCGGCGAGCGACAACGCCTCGCGGGTGCTGTTCTGGTGGTCCAACACGGCCCTGCTGCGCTCCGCCCTGGCGCCCCTGGTGGCGGAGGAGCAGAGGAGGAAAGGGGAGGAGGGCAGGACGGGTGAGGGGGCCACAGGTGAAGGAGGGGCAGGTGGTGGTGGTGTTGGGAATGGTGCTGCTGCTGCGAATGGTGGTGGTGCATGCTGGCCCGGCACAGGTGATGGCGACCGGGGAGAGCACCCGGAGCACCCAGAGCGCCCTGAGGACCCGTGGGGCAGCTTGGCTCACCTTGAGTCGCAGCTGCTGCAGCTGGAGCAATGGCAGCACGACAGGTGTCTGCACCTGGTGTGGACACGTGTCTTCCTGCCAGCCATGCAGCAGCGCCCCCCTGTGCTGCCGCCTCCCTTCCACCCGCCATCACACACCCCCCCCTTCACCCCCTCGTGGTCCTCTGCCTTGCTCTGCTCCACCTCTGCCGCCCAGCAGTCGTCCCTCTGGCCCTTCTCCACCCCTGCGCCCCCGCCGCCCTCACTCAGAGGTAACTCATTCTTCTCGTTCAAGTTGTGCCTCCTGTCGTTTTGACACTGTAAACGTCTCACCGCTGCTGAAAGGTGGTCTCCTTGTCTTTGCTCATCTTGAGACTCGCATTGGATCGGAAGCTGCACACCTCTCTATGATTCCATGCGCACCTGTCCATGTGAGTCTCAAGTCTCCCTGCATGCCTTGCTCTATGCATGGTTTCAAGAGCTCCAAGCATGCCTGTGTCCTTGTCAACATCTTCTGTTGGTTACATCCCTAGCCATGTCATCTCCCACTCTTCCCCACATTTCCCTCTCAACCTCTTCCCTCTCTCTCCTCTATCCCTCTCTCCCGCTCTCCCTCTCCCCCCCCTCTGGCCCCGCTCCCGCTCTCCCTCTCTGTGCAGCGGAGGAGGTGCAGGCGCCCTGGTGGGCGGGGCTGAGTGGTACAGAGCGGTGGGTGGCGGTGCTGCACGAGGCGGCTGCCATGCTGTGCCCCCACAGGGCCATGGGGCACCACTGCGGCTGCCTTTACCCTCTTTTTAAGCAGGTCAGAGCTGTCTTTATCCTCTTTTCAAGCAGGTCAGTGCTGCCTTTACCCCTTTTCAAGTAGGTCAGTGCTTCCTCTACCCGCTATTCAAGCAGGTCAGTTCTGCCTCTACCCGCTATTCAAGCAGGTCAGTGCTGCCTTTACCCTCTTTTCAAGTATGTCAGTGCTGCCTCTACCCACTATTCAAGCAGGTAAGTTGAGCCTCTACCCGCTATTCAAGCAGGTCAGTGCTGCCTCTAACCACTACTCCATGCCAGCAAGCACCTCCCTGCTTTTGTTGTTGCTGCAATTTTGAGTGACTCACCATCATGATTCGACCCTCCTCACAGCGCATGCATACTGCCAGTGAGCCGTCCTTTCCTTCCCTTGTTCTGTCCTCAACCGCTTTCTTATTACCCTTTCTCAACCTCTTCACCTCACCCCATAACCTCAATAACTTCTTCCCCTCGTTTCGTTCTTCCCCCCCTTCCTCCTCGACGAGGTCACGGCACTCAGCAGCTCGACACTTCTGCTCCACCTTCGTCCCCCTCTTCCCATCCCTTTCCCTGCTCCGCCTCACACACCCTCTCTCTCTCTCTCCCTTTCACCACCCCTCTTCACCATCCCCTTCGCCCTCCCCCCACACCAGGTGCTGCAGCAGTGCCAGCAGCGGCTGGACGCGGCGCTCTTCAACGCGCTGCTGCGCTCCGGCAACGACGTGCTCTCCACCGACCCTGCCGCCGACCCTCTCACCGACCCTGCCGCCCTGCCCTTCCCCGCCAATGGCCGCTTCTGGGCCGCCCAAGGGGGGCTGCTGAAACACACTGTAAGGGGGACTGTTAGGGGGGTTGCTGAAACGCGCTGCAGAGGGGATAACTGAAACACAAGGGGATGGCGTGCACACGTGCCATTGTATCCTTACATAGCTTCAATGTGTTCCCGCCTTTCCACCATGCCCCTGTGCCCACTCTCTCTCCCCGCCCCCCATGGCACCCCACGGCACGGCACCAGGTGTTGGAGTGGACTGACTTCCTCGCAGACATGGACGCGCATGTCGCCTCACACTGCCACGCCGCCGCCGCTGCTGCTGCCGCACATCCCGGGGCCGCCCGCGCTTCGCCCCCGTCGCCCATCGTCCCCCCGCCCACCATCCCGCTCTCCTTGCTCTCCTCCGCTCGCTTCTGGGCGGGCCAGCTGGAGCTCTTTGATTGGCCAGAGGGCGCAGAGGGGCAGGGCGGGGCAGGAAAGCAAGGACATGGAAATGGACTGGTGGGGCAGGGAGAGGGGTGGAGAGCGGTGACAGGTGGTGATGCCATGGCAGGTGCAGCGGCGCGGAGCAGTGGGGGGTGTGAAGCGGGCACGGGTCAGAGAGGGCACGACCCCGCGGCGCTGCTGCTGCTGGAAGGGCGCGAGGGGAAAGGAGGGGAGGAGAGAGGCGTGGAGCAGCAGCTGATAGGCGGGCGAGTGGAGTGCTTCCCACTGCTGCGCGCGCTGGCCCACGTGCTGCTGCTGCCCAAGAAGGCCCTCTGCGACCGCCCTGTGCGCCGCGAGGTGCGGGGGCAGGGGGGGACGACATTGGCGGGGAGAGCAGTGTGATCGAAGAGTGGGACGAGAGGGGTGCGAGGGATGAGAGGAATGAGGGGGGAGAGAGGGGTGAGCAGTGGTGTGGGTGACAGTGTTACTGCATTGTTCACGTGAGACGCTGTGCCTCATGCTTGTGCATCCACAGCATGTGCACGTCAGTGTGTCGTGTGTTTTGCTCACCCATGGCATGCATGTCGCCATGCCCGCCCATGCAGGTGTACGCCACCATCCCGGCGCCGCTGCTGCAGCGCGTGGTGAGCATGTGTGTGGAGCAGCCGTCCCACCCCGACCCCATCCCTCCCGTGCTGCTCGACATGCTGCATGCCGAGGTGAGTGCTGCATGCCGAGGTGAGTGCTGCATGCCGAGGTGAGTGCCGCCCCACATGCTCAGGCCGCCCCCGACGTTAGGCTGCCCCACGTTCTGCTGTACATGATCAGGCATCACATGCATTGTCTGTTCTCTCACCTGCAAGCCCATCCCCCCATTCCGCCCCTCCCACCTCCCGCTGCTCCTGCTGCCCCTCCTCGCCTGCACCCTCCCCAGGCCAACACCTCTGCCCACGCCATCCACTTGCTGCCAGTCTTCGACCCCGCCCCCCTGCCCCCCACGCCCTACTGCCCGCCGCCCACCTCCGCCCTGCATGCGCTGCTGGGGGTGGCTGCACCGGGCGCGGTGGGCGTGCAGCAGGGGGGGCTGGAGGGCGGGAAGGGGGCACGGCACGGAGAGGTGCCGATGGAGTGAATGCGGCACGGCGAGGCTGAGGGGCCAGAGCAGCAGAGACGAGGTTGCAGGTGCGGGGATGAGTGTGTGCAGGCGAGGCAAGTGTGCCAGTGCGGCAGCGGTTTTCCCTGACAGCTGGGCCGAGTGACTAGGAGCTGTGACTGCTGCACCCCACTGCTGCACCCCACTGCTGTACTTGCCCAAAAGCCGAAAGTACTGCCACAGCCACTGCATGTCCCTCGGATTGGATTCAGGCCACTCTGATTGATCAGTGCTCCCCCAAAAAAAATTGCATCCCAGTCAGAGCTGGGTGAAAAAGTATACCATAAAACCATCAGTATATACCAGGCCCTACGATATCAGGAATTTTTTCCTGAAATTCCTGATTTTCAGGGATTTTTTTGTACCTACACTGATTTTTCAGTGTTGAGAATTTTGTGACACTGATTTTTCAGCCTTTATTTCATAGTTGACACTGATTTTTCAGTCTTTTATCGAAGTGTACACTGAATGCACATTCCGAATCCTTCCTGTCAACCAACATTTTTTGATTTTTCACGTACGAGAACGTAAGAGATTGAAGGTTTAGTGGATCAATTACACAGTGGTTTGTGATTTTCTACAGACGGGTAAGGGCCCGGTTCGAATCCCTCCGCTGTCATGTTTCGTAAAGCCTACCGTTGTATACAAGGTTTTCATTTGCTTGAAAATTCAGGCTTTGTTTTTTAGGAACCCTGAAAATTCAGGGTTTTTTTTTTAGGAATACTGAAAATCAGGGTTTTGTTCACAGGGACCCTGATGCATCAACGTCCCTTAAAGTGAATCTGAGGGCCTGGTATATACAGCCCGCCAAATAAATGCACCTATGTGGGGCTTATGTGGGCGGAAGGCTTTATTGTGGTATTTTAAATGATTAACCATATTTATTTCATTATTTCTACTAAACTTTTCTTCATTACCGTCATCGCCCGGATATAAGACATATATGTCTTATCTCATACACTAAAAAAAATGCTTGGGTTATCTTGTATTTGGGGAGGTTTTGGGTGTCTTATAAGTCTTATAAATGGAAACTTTTTTAAACTACTTAGAAATATTTTCACACATCTTGAAAAGAGTTTCTCATTATGAGTGTGGATGTTGCGAAGGTGCCACTTCGGCAACCATTGTTCGGGGTGCCACGTCATGGAGAATACTTGCAAAGGCAAATTTGGTAGTACGTGAGTCAGCACGTGGCAGAATTCGCGTGTCGCAAGGGTAAAAATGTACGCGGTACTTCAATTTTCACTATAATATATTGCAGTTTCGATTATAAGACACATATGTCTTATCTCGTACACACAAATAGGTGTCTTATAATGAGGCTAGCCTGTTTATAAGAGACACCCGTATAATAGACAACCCCTGTCTACTATTCAACACTGTCTTATATCCGGGTGATGACGGTAGTTGTGCTGTAAGGTGGGGAGGGGAACCTTTGCCATTTTTTTTCTCAAAGTTGTTTGTTGTAGAACCCTTTTTTCCAGGAATGGTTCACGTAGGGCTGATATTTCAGAATGGTTCCGACTGATGCGAAACGAATCTGATGAAACCAGTGACTGGGGGGAGGGGGGGAGGGGGGGGAGGGGTGGGGGAGGGAGGGGGGAGGGGGGGGAGGGGGGGGAGGGGTGGGGGAGGGAGGGGGGGAGGGGGAAGGGTGTCAGAATAACTGTGCAGGAATGATTGGATTAGCAAGAGTTGGGGTACAAGTATTAACCTTAGAAGTGCTGTACCCCATAAGGAGTGCCCCACTATACTTTACAAGTAAGATTGTACTTTGACACACCCCCATAGGCTAAGTGGGGGACAACAAGACGGTCACAAGACCAGTCAAGCAAGACAACAGAGCAAAGCAAAACAAAGCTCGGGGTGGATCTCAAGGACACCACACAATCCGAGCACAAGCAAGCGGCCACAAGGCCAGTTCACATGCAGAGGTATAATAGCAAGGCAGTACACTGATCACAACCTAGCAAAGCGAATCATGCAGGTATAATATAGATATAAGTGCACAACAAGTGCAAGATCAAGAGACAAGCAGGTAAGGTAGAACGGGCAGAAGCCAAAGAGCAGCGATAAAACGCTGAACATCACCAGACCCGAGGGCCTTGGTGAAGACATCAGCAGTGTTGGCCCGAGAGGCCACGTAGGAAAGGCGAACCTGACCACGCTGCTGCAACTCTCGAGCAAAAAAGTAGCGAAGAGCAATGTGCTTCGTTCTGTGCTCCAGTCTCTGCTCCCGACATAAGGCAAGCATGGCCTTATTGTCAACGTACAGAACCGGAGGAGAACGGGGCCGCTCCCCCAAGTCGGTCAGCAAGTAGGTCAGCAAGCGTAGCTCCTGTGCAGCCATGGCCCCAGCGATCTCGGCCTCACATCTGGAACCTAGCACAGAAGAAGAACGAGTGGACCTTTACGAGACAGAACCAGAGCAAGACTGAAGGTGTAACCCTGTAACAAACTCCAAGTCGCCTGGTCGTTGGCCCAAGAAGCGTCGGAGTGTCTCGTGAGTACCACTGAACCCCATCCTCCAAGCACGAGGCCCATGCCCGATGTACCACACAATTAACGCAATACCCACTTCGCAACATCCCAGTGCACCTTTCGGTGTCTTTCGGGAGCCACGTAGCGAGCCAGGAGGCTGAGAGGGTACGCGAGGTCAGGTCGTGTGCATGTCACTAGGTACATGAGGCAACCCACAAGCCCTGGGTACGGACCACTCGGCTCTACGGACTCGTTCGAAGGTGGAGCTGAGAGCGAGTGGTCGGTAGACAGAGGAGTGGGCTATGGCGAGGAGTACTGGAAGCCGAAGCGCCGAAGGACCTGGTGCACCATGTGTGACTGAGTCAGGGTGATGGTGCACCGTGCTCTTTCCCGGGTGATCTGCAAGCCAAGATAGCTACGCAGCTCACCTAGGTCAGTGCAGGTGTCTCTCCTGCAACTCCGCCTTCACTAGGGCCAGCGCGTCAGTGGCAGCAATAGCAAAAACCACGTCGTCGACGTACATAAGAACGTAGACCGGCAGCAGAGTAGTGTCGGTGCATAGAAACAGCGACAGTTCAGCAGAGGAAGGAGCAAACCCAAGAGTCGCAAGTGTAATCCTCAGTGTGTCGTGCCACTTGCGGGGCGCCTGGCGGAGACCGTAGACTGGCCGCCGGAGGCTCCACTGGGTACCCGCAGGAAACGACCCAGTGAAGCCAGGTGGGCGGCGCAGCCAGATCTCCTCGTGAAGGCTGCCCTGCAAGAAAGTTGTGGAGAAGTCGAGGGAGTGTAGCTCGTAGTCACGTTGTGCTGCAACGTGTAGCAACACCCGAAGAGTAGTCATCTTCGGGGTGGGGGAGAAGGTATGGAAGTAGTCGACCCCCTGTCGCTGACTGAAGCCTCGAGCAACGTAACGCGCCTTGAAAGAATACGGAGAACCCGGCAGCCGCTTCACTCTAAATATCCACATGCCATCGACTATGTTCGCCCCAGGAGGAGGAACCTCGTCGACGTAGGTGCCTGTGGACTTCCAGGATGCCGTCTCTGCACCCATGGCTGTCTGCCACTCAGAGGAGTACTCACTCGCGATCGCCTCAGCGTAAGAGCCCAGGGTTGGGATGTCCAGTGCATCCGGGTCTCCCTCAGGGCAAAGTAGCATGGATGCGAAACGAGGTACAGCGGCCGCAAGAAACTCAAGCTCAAACTGCCTCCCCTCAAGGACGCCACTGCCAAGGGCAGGCTCACCCCCGACGGACGGAGGACATGTCAAAGCATATATGCTTATGTGCTTTAGGCTATATGGGTGTTAGCACTAGGGGGTACAAAATCTCTCGATGTTGTTCTTGTACCCCTCCCCCTTGACATAATCACCAACTATTCTCCTTAGTATTCTAACATGGTATAGAGCAGGTAGGTCCGTTAGGACTGTTTTTTTTTCTAAGAACTTGCCCCTTCCGCTGCCCGTAGCGTGCCTCTAGTGCGTACCTTCTCGCTGCCCGTCGATCGCCCCTAGCGCGCGCCGTATTTTCTGCCCGAACCGAGTAGATACCTACCCCGCGCGCACCTCGGTTACTGCTCTTCGCGCGCCACGTACGTTGCCCCGCACGCGTCCCAATCGCTGCCTAGCACGCGCCCCGTACGCTGCCCCACACGCGCCCTATTCGTTGTCCGTCGCGTGCCCCATTTCATCCCTAGCGCGTGGCCCGTACGCCCTACCCTGCCCTTCCCCGTGCCTTACCGTATGCCCTGCCCTGCCGCGCGCAGTTCGTACAGCCCGCGCGCCCCTCTCGTACAGCCCGTACAGCCTGCGCGCCGGCCGCACGCAGCCCGTACAGCCCACGCCAGGCCCGCACGCAGCCCATACAGCCCGCGCCAGGCCCGTGCGCACCTGCCCTGCCGCCTCGCACCTGCACTGCTGCCATACTGCCGCCTGTACTGCTGTGGCTGCGCTACTGCTGCTGCCTACGCTACTGCAGCTGCTGCACTACTGTCATTGCCCTGCACAGTGTAGTGCCAGCAAGCGCGGCTGCCCTGCCGTGCCTGCACGTGTAAGCTCTGCCCCGTGCACCTGCCCTGCTCCACGCTGCTGCTCTGCACGCGCGGCTGCCTTGCCTTGCCCCGCACTGTTGCACTGCACGTCACGTGCCCCTGCCTGTACACCGCCCTGCTGGCATCCGCCCTGCCCTGCCCTGCCCGCGCGCTGCCCTGCTGGCCGCGCCGCCCTGCCCTGCCTGAGCGCCACTAACAGCCGTGCCACAGAGCCCTGCTGACTGCCGCTCTGCCCTGCTCTGCCTGCGAGCCGCCCTGCTGGCCACCGCCGTGCTTTGCCCTACCTGCCGGCTGCCCTGCTGCTAGCGCACTTTGCTGCTAGCACGCCCGACTACTCTGCCCGCCATGGCCACGCTCAGTGTTCTTACCTTTGATCTGGAGGTCCGCCCGATAGAGTTCGACGCTTGGCTCGACGACTTACAGCTGTATCTACTGAGCGATTCCAAGGACGG